GCAGGGAGATTTAGGACCTCGCCGCAGCTGGCTTCGATGTCTATCCATTGGGGAGTGTATGTGGGGGAGTGCATGGTGAGGATGTTAGTTATCTGGGTTGCTTGGTAATAGGCTTTAATATTGGGGAATCCCCCTTTATCTGTCGGTTTCATCAGGAGCGTTCTAGGGACCCTAGGGTGTTTTCCGCCCCAGCTAAATCTAATTAGGGAGGTCTGCAGTCTTTGTAGATACGTCTGGGGAAGGAATATTTGCAGGGAGCGGAACAAGTACAGGATTTTTGGTAGTATAGTCATTTTGATGGCTGCTATACGACTCAGCCATGAGAGATATTTATTTTGCCACGACTTCAGAATGTGTTCCACTTCTTTGAGGAGTTTAGCGTAGTTGGCGTCGAAGAGGTCTGTGATTCTCTTAGTTATTTTAATGCCTAGAAATGTGAGGTGATCGTCTCTCCAGTCGTAATTAAAGTTGCGTCTATATCGTTCTTCGTCTGGTTTGGCCGTGTTAAGGCACATGGCCTGGGTTTTGGTCAGGTTAAGTTGGTAGTATGAGTTGTCGCTATATTTTTGGATTTCTTTCTGTAGATTTGGTAGGGATACCGTCGGGTTGGAAAGTGTGAGGAGGATGTCGTCCGCGAAGAGGTTCAGTTTGTATTCCTTGCCACCTATGGTTACCCCCTGTATGTCCTGATTGTTACGGATGGCTATGGCGAGCGGTTCAAGGGCTAAAACATAAAGTAATGGGGAAAGTGGACATCCCTGGCGTGTGCCGTTCGTTATGTTAAATGCCTTGGAGCCAAAGCCCGAGTTCAGGACAGGGGCCGAAGGCGAGCTATAAAGTGTTTGGACCATATTCAGGAATGTAGGTGGGAATCCGTATCTGTGTAGCGTTGCTTGTAAGAATTTCCAATTGAGCCGGTCAAACGCTTTTTCCGCGTCTAGTGATAGTATCGTGCACTGCTGTTTGGCCCGGTCGAGATAGTGGAGGATATCTAGTACTTTGCGGGAGTTATCTGGGCCCTGTCTGCCTGTCATGAACCCCACTTGGTCCGTCGCGATCAAGTTTGGTAATAGGTGTTTTAAGCGTTCCGCATATATTTTTGCATATAATTTAGCGTCTGCGTTGAGAAGTGAGATGGGTCTGAAGTTTGGGCAATGTGTCGGTGCTTTACCGGGTTTCGGGAGAGTGATAATGTGGGCCGCTAAGAATTCGGTTGGCGCGAAGCCCTGTGTCGTAGCGAAGTTGAGGGCTCGTGCGATATAGGGGCTTAAGGTGAGTTTGAATGTATTGTAGTAGAGATTATTGAGGCCATCAGGGCCTGGGGCTTTTGATTTTGGCATGGATTCTATTAGTTGTGTCACCTCGTGAGTAGAGATCGGTTCTGTGAGATGTGCTACTTGGTGGGCTGTGAGTTTGGGTAGATCAATCCCATCTAGGTAGTTTTGTATTGAGGTGTTTGTCGGCTGTGTGACAGACGTATTATCTTTTAAGTTGTAGAGGGAGCTGTAATAGTTTGCAAACGCGTTACATATTTCCGTGGGCTGTATCAGCTTCTGGCCTGTGGGGGTCAGTAGGTAGGGGATTTTGGTTTGGGCTTGCCTGTCTCTGAGTCTCTGGGCCAGTGCTTTACTGGCTCTGTTCCCCAATACGAAGGTTGTGGCTTTTAGTTTTTTAATAGCGTAACTCGCTTTTTGGAAGTTTGCTGTGTTGATGTGGCGTTGGAGTTTGGTTATTTCTTCTTGTGTGCCTTTGGAGGGGGAGATCTGGTTGCTTTTGTGGAGGTCATGTAATTTTTTCAGGTTTTGGATATGTGTTGTGTGGTGTGTTTTCTTGAGGTAGGAGGCTCTGCGGATCAGCAGTCCTCTGATCACCGGTTTGTGGGCCAGCCACAGGGTCGTGGGGGATATGTCTTGGTTGTTGTTGTTATTGAAGTATGTTTGCATGTCTTGTTGTAGTGATAGGGCGAACTCGGGATCGTTTAGGAGTTGTTCATTCAATCTCCAGGGGCTACGGTTTTTGTAGTTGTATTGGTCCTCAATAGTGAGTGTCACTGGGTTATGGTCTGACCAAGTGGAGGACCCTATCTCACACGTTTTCACCCTGTTGAGGTGTGCACCGTGCTGTAGGAAGCCATCTATTCTCGAGTAGGTGTTGTGTACTTGTGAAAAATGGGTATATTCCCTGTCCTGTGGGTGCAGCCACAAACTTGTTTTTTAAGGTTTTTAAGAGACAATTAATTCCGTTGTTAACTGACACCTTTAATGAATTGGCAACCAAAGGGAATGCATCTCAAGATCTATTAAGGGCTCATATTACTCCAATTTTGAAACAGGGTAAAAGTTCAGATGATGTGAGTAATTATCGCCCTATTTCTCTGGTTAATGTTGAGATGAAACTTTACGCCGCAATTTTAGCGGAACGTTTGAAAATAGTTTTGCCATCACTTATACACAGGGACCAGATAGGTTTTATGCAGGGAAGACATTCCTCTAATAACACTCGTAGGGTTTTAGATATTAAAGAATGGGCTCAAGTTGAGGGAACCCCCCTTCTGACCCTGTCGGTGGATGCAGAAAAGGCCTTCGACAGGGTCGGATGGGGGTATTTGAATAAAACTTTGATACAGTTCAGTTTTAACGGATGGTTCCTGAGTGCGGTGGGAGCTATATATTCGAATCCTTCTGCCCGTATAGTAGCCCGTGATTTATGTTCAGACTGGTTTAATATTAAAAATGGGACGAGACAGGGGTGTCCTCTTTCACCTTTATTATACATCTTATCAATTGAACCACTGGCAAATAACATTAGACAAAATGCTGGGATTAAAGGTATAGGAACCCAACTTGATGAATGGAAGATATGTCTATATGCTGACGATATCTTAATTTCTATTACGGATCCTCTGGTTTCTCTCCCGTATTTAATGCAAGAATTTAATAAATATAGTAGTGTTTCAAATAATAAATTGAATATGAATAAAACAATAGCCATGTCGATTAACATCCATAAAGATAATCTATTTTCCCTAAAGAGAGACTTCGACTTTAAATGGACAAAAAAAGAGTTTATATACTTGGGGGTAACTATAACGGCAGAGATAAGTCGGACTATGGAAACTAATTTTTTGAAGTTGTTAAAAGAGACTAATATGTTATTAAAAGAATGGAGAGTGCATGAAATTTCCTGGTGGGGAAGGATAAATACTATTAAAGCTTATATAATACCTAAATGGGCATACTTATTTAGTATGCTCCCTCTCTCGATTTCGAGCTATTGGCTGAATATGCTGCAAACTAGCATTACAGCGTATGTTTGGAGAGGGAAGAGACCAAGAATTAGTACTTACCATCTATCAAGGAAGGCCTACCAGGGGGGGTTGGGTTACCCCCTTGTTAATCAAATTTACCAGGCTAATATACTAGTTCATGCCAGTAAATTACAATTAAGCGACTCTATAGACCAAGCCTGGTATAAAATTGAAGCAGCCAGACTTGGTTTAGATAACCTCGAATTCCTCTTATGGAGAGAGGCAAGCCAGAATAGGCATCTGTGTGAGACTGGTTCTCACTGTCCTTTGTCTTTATCACAGACATTAAAAGAATGGACAACTATAAAGAAGAAGTTGAATATTAACAGAAAAATATATGAGAATTTGAGTTTGAGGTCGTTAGAATGTTTTATGCTAGAGATAAATTTGACGAATTGGTATAAAGACTCTAACCATAAGATAAAAGATCTCTATAATGACCATCAATTGAAAAGCTTTGATGTTTTGAACAATTGGTTAGATTTACCCTCTAGAGAATTATTTAACTTTCTTCGTATTAAGAGCTATCTGAAAGATAATATATTGGTTTTAGAAGGCCGATTTGGAATAGTGTTTAGGAAACTTTTTTCGGGGTATTCTGTCAAAAGGATTTTCTCTATCGCAGTTGAATTAATAAAGATGAAAGGGACCCCTCTCATCCCTAAAGCTTTAACTGAATGGGAAACTGATCTAGCAATTTCTATTCCATTTAATAGTTGGTGTAAATCCTTTGTAAGGACTAAAAAAAATATTAATTGTTTGAATATCTTAGAGACCTTTATTAAAATATTATATAGATGGTACTTGGTACCTATTAGACTTGCTAAAATTTCTATTACTAACCCGTCTAATTGTTGGCGGTGTCTACATCCAGATGGCTCTATGGTTCATATATGGTGGTCCTGCCACCGAATTAAATCCCTTTGGTCGAGATGGAAAAGGGATTATTGTTTATGAGAGAATATTCTAACTTTAAGGCTCTGTCGTTCTATTCTAGTCTTGTCCAAAAAAATCAATAGGCTTTAATGAGTTTGAATTGGTGGGGTATTTCATACGACCTACTTACGGTTAGTCTGATGTTTTCATTATGGGTTCTATTATTGGACTCCTTGGCCTTATATTGCTCTTTTTAAATGTGGTATCGGACCTGCAATACATATGACCAGTTTTGTCTTTGTTTTTGTCTATTTTATTTATAAGGCTTTATTTAGACCGTTTTTGGACCACGATATCCATTCGATAGGATGTTTATGTTACCAGATTGTGTTCTACACGGCTTATTGATGAAATTTGAAATAGAACATTGTATCTATGTATGTTTAAAAAAAAAAAAAAAAATTATAAAAATATACTGGTAATTCCTGGATCCTCCGAGACGCATTTCTCCTATCAAGGATAGGCTTTCTCAATCGGCTGTGTTCGTTGTTCCGGGTTCCGTGATTTGAATGGTGTTTAGGTCCTCCTCCTTCGCTGCTCCTCCAATCGGTGCCGTCCATTCTGTCATACCTCCTCACTTCATCACCTGTTCATTATGCTGTAATGTCTCGTATGCAGAAAAGGTCTCCTGATTGCCCATACATCACTTCCGTGTTTCGAACTACAGCGTCTATAATCCTTTGCGCTAGTGTGTTCCTTACCCGGCATTCTCAGCATTGTATAGAAATTCGTAATCATAAAAAATATACATATGTGGGCAGATCTTACCGAGACTCCTTGCTGTCGGTCGGTGAGAAGCCAGGGCTTGCCTGTTTCACGAACTCCGGTCACTCTTCATTTTTTTTTCACTCCCTGTTTCTGCTGTGAAGTCGTACGATCAGACAATAATGCGTGAGTGCATCTCTATCCACATTGGTCAGGCTGGTGTCCAGATTGGTAATGCCTGCTGGGAGCTGTACTGCCTGGAACATGGCATTCAGCCTGATGGGCAGATGCCCAGCGACAAGACCATTGGAGGAGGGGATGATTCCTTCAACACCTTCTTCAGTGAGACTGGAGCTGGAAAACATGTCCCCAGGGCTGTGTTTGTAGATCTGGAACCAACAGTCATTGATGAGGTACGTACTGGCACATACCGTCAGCTTTTCCACCCAGAACAATTAATCACTGGCAAAGAAGATGCAGCCAACAACTATGCTCGTGGGCACTACACAACTGGCAAAGAGATCATCGACTTGGTATTGGATAAGATCCGTAAATTGGCTGACCAGTGCACAGGTCTTCAGGGTTTTCTGGTGTTTCACAGTTTTGGTGGCGGTACAGGTTCTGGTTTCACATCTCTGTTGATGGAACGTCTCTCTGTTGATTATGGGAAGAAGTCCAAACTTGAATTTGCCATTTATCCAGCACCTCAAGTCTCTACAGCTGTGGTTGAACCCTACAATTCCATCCTGACCACTCACACCACCTTGGAGCATTCAGATTGCGCCTTCATGGTGGACAATGAGGCTATCTATGACATTTGCCGCAGAAACCTAGATATTGAGCGTCCCACATATACCAATCTCAATCGCCTTATCAGTCAGATAGTGTCCTCTATTACAGCCTCTCTCATATTTGATGGTGCCCTGAATGTTGATCTTACTGAATTCCAAACCAACTTGGTGCCCTATCCTCATATTCATTTCCCTCTGGCCACTTATGCCACTGTTATTTCTGCAGAGAAAGCTTACCATGAGCAGCTGACTGTGGCTGATATTACAAATGCATGCTTTGAGCCAGCTAATCAGATGGTAAAATGTGATCCACGTCACGGTAAATACATGGCTTGCTGCCTGTTGTATCGTGGTGATGTTGTGCCCAAAGATGTTAATGCAGCTATTGCCACCATCAAGACAAAGCGTAGCATCCAGTTTGTAGACTGGTGTCCCACTGGTTTCAAGGTTGGCATTAACTACCAACCCCCAACTGTGGTTCCAGGTGGTGACCTGGCCAAGGTACAACGTGCTGTGTGTATGCTGAGCAACACCACTGCAATTGCTGAGGCCTGGGCCCGCCTGGACCACAAATTCGATCTTATGTATGCTAAACGTGCCTTCGTGCACTGGTATGTTGGTGAGGTTATGGAGGAGGGAGAGTTCTCTGAGGCCCGTGAAGACATGGCTGCCCTGGAGAAGGATTATGAGGAAGTTGGTGCAGATAGTGCTGATGCAGAGGATGAAGGTGAAGGGTATTAGACTTGATGTTCACTTGAAATGGGCCTTTCCTATTGCTGAACCTTCTGATCTGGAGTCTAATTTTTTTTTTAAATAAAGTGCAATTATAAATGTGGCTGTTCAGTGTTAATGCTTCTGGAATTTTGTAGCTTGTGATATTGACATGTCAAACTTAAAACTAAAGACAATGTAATGTTTCAAGTTTGTGATGTAATGACTAGTACCATGGGTAGAACATTGATATTTAGTAGCTCTTAAATCTCCAAAGACAACAGGTTAGTGTTTAGCCTCTCAAAGGGGGAGCATTTTGGGTGACTGCATTATTTTCGTTGTTGGGTCCACTATACTCCCCGTAAATTCAGTAGCTCCGTGTTGCCCCTTCTGGCAAGTCTGGCTGTTGCTTCTAACATTTTGTGAGTAAGCTGGGCAAAATTGATCCTGTTACAGAAATAAAACAAAAAACAAGCTGACATGTACAAGATTTTTATCTTTGTGATGCAGTGATCACTACACATTTGACTGTTTGTTTGGGTAGATAATGGCCCACTTCAACAGTCATTGAGATGTGGAAAGGATGCAGCTAAGCTATAGATCAGGGGTAGGCAAAATATTCATTCCAAATTTACTCTGTGATTACAAAAAGAAAGGAAAAAAGCTAGGGGGTAAACTGAGGTAAGGTCAGTTAATGTTACATTTCCCTAGCTTTACTTCTGTTGCTACAGAATACACATGCATTGACTGTCCTTACATCTTGAAAAATTAACTGAATTCCTTCCTTTGTTTAAAACTGAGCACAGATAACCAGACACTAGGACAGTGTTGCAAGAACTTGGAATTCAGGTGTTTGACCAATAAAGTTTGTATAATGCAAAAAAAATATATACATATATATTAGTTCATATATAATCTCCAGAGTAAGTAATAACATGTTGTGTTAGGATGTGACTTAAACATTTGCTTTTGTACAATAAACTCCCTTACTTACTCTGCAGTGCTATATTTATTAGAAAGTTAAAATAAAATAAATACAAATAGATATAATAGTTGATTACAGTGCAATTTTTGTCTCATTAGTGTATAGGTCAAGCCTCCAAATACTAACATTCTAATAAAATTTAAATTGAATACATATTACATATGAGAACAGATGTATGAATAAATAGGTTTAAAAAATATATAATTATGTTAAATATTTTCTGTTTAAAAGGAAAATTCAAAAATTCACAAGAAATGGCACAGTTCGAAGTCAACATTTAGATCATGTGGGGTTAAAGTATGTAAATCAAAGATCCACCATATCTCTGTTTGGCCCATTCTCTTTATGATATCATCCCCTCTCCAATTTGCTGTAACCTTTTGAATTGCTAAAAATGTTAGGCATTTTGGGTCACAGTTATGTTTATCTTTAAAGTGCATAGATACATTGTGCTGTGCAAAACCTTTTTTGATGTTTACAAATTTGTGGCACGGCGATGGGAACAAGGTTTGCACCCAGTTATACCAATTTATTTATGGCACTTTGGGAACAGGTTTTTATTTTGGACAATGCAGACTGGAGTGCAAACCTTGTTTCCTATCATCGATATATAGATGATATTTTCTTCATATGGAAAGGTACTGTAAAGGTATCTATACACTTTGACTCATAACACTCTGATTGGTGGATTAAGTAACCAATCAGAGTGTTATGAGTCAAATTACACAGCATGGGAAAATTCCAAAGAACTTTCCCACGCTGTGTAAAATGACACAGAGCACTCTGATTGGTGGATTTCAAACCAACTAATCAGAGTGCTGTGACAGGTAAATGTAGAGACTTACCTGTCAGTCTCTTCATTTACCAGTCAGAGCACTCTGATTGGATGGCTTAAACAAACCAATCAGAGTGCTCTGAGCCTAATTGCAGGGCGGGGCAAGGCTTTATAAGCCTTCCCCCGCCCTGCAGAGCTCAGTCTGCATGGAGCCCTCGCCGGGTAAAGAAGGATTATTTTTTTTTGCGCACTTTTTTTTTTTTTATTGCGTCGGTTATTATGGATTTTTTATTTGGCCTTTTTTGGGGCTGAAAAAAGAAGATTTTAGAAGAAAGAAAACATCGAATGGTAAGTTTTATTTTATTTTCAGGTACTTAGTTAAAGGTCCCCCCCTCATTATTTTTAGGGTGAGGGGGATAGGTAGGGGGTTAATTTTTTTCAGAGGGAGGGGGTGACCAGGGGTTTGGGGACGCCTAGTCACCTGGGGGGTAAAATTTTTTTGGGCCCCCACCCGCCGCTCAGGGGTTGGGGCCGGGGGGAGGACAATAGGTCCCCCATTGGTATTTAGGGCCCCCACCTGCTGCTCAGGGGTGGGGCCAGGGGGAAGGACATTGGGCCACCCCCTTATTAGTATTTAGGGCCCCCACCCGCTGCTCAGGGGTGGGGGACAGGGGGGGAGGACATTAGGCCCCCCCCTTATTTTACTGTAGGGCCCCCACCCACCGCTCAGGGGTGGGGGTCAGGGGGAGGACATTAGGTCCCCCCCCTTATTAGTATTTAGGGCCCCCACCCGCCGCTCAGGGGTGGGGGCCAGGGGGGAGGAAATTAGGTCCCCCTACTTATTTTACTGTAGGGCACTCAGGGGTGGGGGCCAGGAGGTGCAATAGTTTTAGTTTAAAAGCGGGCTCGGGAGGGGGGGACCCTATTTTTTTAACAGTGAGCAGCCACAGGCTGCTCACTGTTTACTAGACATACCCCTACTTGCAGTATAGCAAGTAGGGGCAGAATTTACTAATACTAAGTAATTTTTACTTAGTATTAGTAAATTTGTCTGAAAGACCAATTTAGGTCTTTCAGCCTTTTGGTAGATAACTCCCTAATACCGTGGGAATTAGGGCGTTATCTACTAAGTGGCTGCAAAAGAAGTCCTGAAGTGCCGAAGTCCCGAAATTCCAAAATGCCGAAGTTCCAAAATTCCGAAGTGTCGAAGTTCCGAAGTTGCCGAAGTTCCGAATTCCCGATTTATGAAAGTCCCGAATTTCGGAATGCCGAGCCTAACCGAACCGAAAATTTTCCCCATGCACATGCCTACAATTAAGGCAATGTGCCACAAAAAGGATACTTTGAGAGTTAAAACAGAATAAAGGCAATATGCCCCAAACAGGATATCTTGAAGTAAATGAATAAAGTATTTTTTATACAAGTAGGTTTGAAGTTATTTCCAAGTAGATTAATAGATTGTGGAATGTCACACTGCAGCCAGGTTGAGGATGATACAGGGTTAAAATGGTTAAAGCTGGTAAGTACTTTCAGTGTAATATAGTACAAGTTGCTTAAAGGATTATGCAGAGTTGGAGCAGCTGAGACAGGTAAGTAAATTCCAGTATAATGTAATACAGGTTGTTTACAAGATCATGCAGAGTTGCAGCAGTTGAGACGGGTGAGTAGATTCCAGTATAATGTGATACAGGTTGCTTACAGGATCTTGCAGCGTTGCAGAAGTTGAAGATAAGAGTTTCAGGAGGATTCCGGCGACGGGACACACGGAGTCTCCATAGAGGATCAGGATTTTTTTTTTATTCTTTATTTTTGTAGTGCGTACGATTATAACAGTTGCTTATGAGGTACCCCAAAGGCATTCCTCTAGCGCATTATGAACAGTTTAAACATAGGGGTAGACAGTAGATCTTGCACTTTTTTTTTTTTGTGATAAGGAGATAGACAGGATAGATTTACGCAGGGGTCAAGTCCTGGGGAAAAAAGTGTGGGAACTCACCCAAGATTCCCGCCTCCCCCCCTTAAAAAAAAAAAAAAAAAATTAAACTCCTATGCATAGTGAATGCAGAGTATGAATAATAAATGTAGTGTGTGTTTGTAGTGAGTGCAGTGTGAATAATAATTGCTTAGTGTATTTGCTTGAGTGAGAGTGCAGAGTGTGTATAATGAATGCAGTGTGTTTTAGTAAGTGCAGAGTGTGTGTATATGAATGTAGTGTATTTGTAGTGAGTGCAGTGTGTATAATAAATGTAGTGTATTTGCTTGGTGCAGTGTGTATAATAAATGTAGTGTGTTTGTAGTGGTGCAGTGTGTATAGTAGATACAGTGTGTACCTAGTGAATGTAGTGTGTTTTGTAAGTGAGTGCAGAGTGTGTATAATGAATGGAGTGTATAGGTAGATGTAGTGTATTTGTAGTGAGTGCAGAGTGTGTATAATGAATGCAGTGTGTTTGTAGTAAGTGCAAATTGTATATAATGAATTTAGTGTGTTTGTAGTGAGTGCAGTGTGTACAATGAATGCAGTGTATGTAGTGTGTTTGTAGTGAGTGCAGTGTGTACAATGAATGCAGTGTATGTAGTGTGTTTGTAGTGAATGCAGAGTGTGTATAGTGAATGTAGTGCATGCAGATGTGTGTGTGTGTGCTGGATGATGGATGTAGGAGTGCTGGATGATGTGTGTGTGTGTGTGCTGGATGATGGGTGTGTGTGTGCTGGATGATGGGTGTGTGAGTGCTGGATGATGTGTGTGAGTGCTGGATGATGGGTGTGTGAGTGCTGGATGATGTGTGTGTGTGTGTGTGCTGGATGATGTGTGTGCGAGTGCTGGATGATGTGTGTGTGTGTGTGCTGGATGATGTGTGTGTGTGTGCTGGATGATGTGTGTGTGAGTGCTGGATGATGGGTGTGTGAGTGCTGGATGATGGGTGTGTGTGTGCTGGATGATGGGTGTGTGAGTGCTGGATGATGGGTGTATGTGCTGGATGATGTGTGTGTGTGTGCTGGATGATGGGTGTGTGTGTGCTGGATGATGGGTGTGTGAGTGCTGGATGATGGGTGTGAGTGCTGGATGATGGGTGTGTGAGTGCTGGATGATGGGTGTGTGAGTGCTGGATGATGGGTGATGCTGGATGATGGGTGTGTGAGTGCTGGATGATGGGGTGTGTGTGTGCTGGATGATGGGTGTGTGAGTGCTGGATGATGGGTGTGTGTGTGCTGGATGATGGGTGTGTGAGTGCCGGATGATGGGTGTGTGTGTGCTGGATGATGGGTGTGTGAGTGCTGGATGATGTGGGGGGGGAGCATTTTTTTTAACTTTATGTGTCTATATTTTTTTTTATTTTATTCCCCCCTCCCTGCTTCTTACCTTGTCAGGGAGGGGGGAGATCGCCTGGTGGTCTGCTGGAGGGAGGCAGCCGCTGCACAGAGGGGCCATCACACGCTGTGCTCCCTCTCCAGCTCTAACTCTCGCGAGACTCGCCTGTGCGGAGCGTTGCCATGGTAACAGCCGCGGGTCTCGCGAGAGTTATAGCTGGAGAGGGAACACAGCGTGTGCTGGCCCCTCAGTGCAGGGAGCAGGGCCGGTCCTGCAGGACAGGTAACGGGAACGGCGTTCCTGCTATGGAAAAAGTGCAGGAACGCCGTTCCCATGCGTTCCTGCAGGACTCGAGCCCTGGTAGCCCTTCTCTGAACTCTCTCTAAAGTATCAATATCCTTCTGGAGATACGGTCTCCAGTACTGCGTACAATACTCCAAGTGAGGTCTTACCAGTGTTCTGTACAATGGCATGAGTACTTCCCTCTTTCTACTGCTAATACCTCTCCCTATACAACCAAGCATTCTGCTAGCATTTTCTGCTGCTTTATTACAATGTCTGCCTACTTTTAAGTCATCTGAAATTATTACCCCTAAACCCCTTTCCTCAGATGTTGAGGTTAGGACTATCAAATATTCTGTACTCTGCCCTAGGTTTTTTTTTTTACATCCCAGATGCCTTATCTTGCACTTATCTACATTAAATGTCAGTTGCCACAGGTCTGACCTTTTTTTCTAGTTTACCTAAATCATTTGCCATTTGGCTTATCCCTCCTGGAACATCAGCCCTGTTACATTTCTTAGTATCATCAGCAAAAAGACAAACCTTACCATCAAGACCTTCTGCAATATCACTAATAAAAATATTAAAGAGAATGGGTCCAAGTACATGTTCCTGAGGTACCCCACTGGTGCCCATACTTCGACTATACTACACTGACTACAATCCTCTGTTGCCTGTCACTCAGCCACTGCCTTACCCATTCAACAATATTGGAATCCAAACTTAAAGATTGCAGTTTATTGATAAGCCTTCCATGTGCAACAGTGTCAAAAGTCTTACCGGTTAGGCATGTGCATGGGGAAAATATTCGACTTGGTTTGGCATTTCTGAAATTCGGGACTTCGGCAATTCGGAACTTCGGCAACTTCAGTACTTTGGAACTTAGACACTTCGGAACATTGGTAACTCCAGCATTTCGGGACTTCTCTTGCAGCCGCTTGGTAGATAACTCCCTAATTCCTACGGTATTAGGGAGTTATCTACCAAAAGGCAGAAAGACATAACTTGGTCTTTCAGCCAAATTTACTAATACTAAGTAAAAATTACTTAGTATTAGTAAATTTTGCCCCTACTCGCTATACCGCGAGTAGGGACATGTTTAGTAAACAGCGAGCAGCCTGTGGCTGCTCACTGTTAAAAAAAAGAAAAAAAAATCAAAAGAAGGTCCCCCCTCCTGAGCCCCCACCCGCGACGTGCAATTGCCTCCCCCCGGACCTAAACTAGAATAAGGGGGGGACCTAATGTCCTCCCCCTGGCCCCCACCCCTGAGCGGTGGATGGGGCCCTAAAAAAAAAATTGGGGGGGACTTGATGTCCTCCCCCTGGCCCCCACCCCTGAGCGGTGGGTGGGGGCCCTAAACTAGAATGAGGGAGGGGACCTAATGCCCCCCCTTCCTGCCCCCACCCCTGAGCGGTGGGTGGGGGCCCTAAAAAAAAATTGGGGGACACCAAATGTCCTTCCCCTGGCCCCCACCCACCGCTCAGGGCTGGGGGCCCTAAACTAGAATGAAGAGGGGGACCTAATGTCCTCCCCACTGGCCCCCATCCCTGAGCGGTGGGTGGGGGACCTAAATATGAATTGGGGGGGGATCTAATGTCCTCCCCACTGGCCCCCACCCCTGAGCGGTGGGTGGGAGCCCTAAACTAGAATAAGGGGGGGACCTAATGTCCTCCCCCTGGCCCCCACCTCCTCACTAGCCAAGTTACTTACATTTTATATGAATGTGTGTTACTTGATTGTTGTAAGTGTTGCAATCGCTTACAGCTGAATCCTGGCTATGTTTGTATACTTTTTATTTAAAATTGTATACAATGTAACATTCTTCTTTCACTGGGTAAGTATATTAGTACTTAGGCAATACTGTGCTTCGGAACTTCAGCACTTTGACACCTCGGAACACCCGAATGTCCGAATTGCCCAAAATTCTGACGAATTTTCATTCGGACCGAAACGAATTGCACATGTCTATTACCGGTATCTAGGTAAGCAATGTCTACAGCACCACCCTGATCTAATATTTTAGTTGCCCAATCAAAAAAATCAATAAGATTAGTTTGGCATGACCTCCCTGAAGTAAACCCATGTTGTCTCTGATCTTGAAATCCTTGTGATTTTAGATGTTCAACAATTATATCCTTTAACATGGTTTCCATTACTTTCCCCACTACTAAAGTAAGGCTTACTGGCCTGTTATTGCCAAACTCCTCACTACTACCTTTCTTGTGAATGGGCACAACATTCGCTAATTTCAAATCTTTTGGGACTACTCCTGTTAACAATGATTGGTTAAATAAATCTGTTAATGGTTTTGCTAGTACACCACTAAGCTCTTTTAATAACTTTGGGTGTATTCCATCAGGTCCCATCGACTTATTTGTCTTTATTTTTGACAGTTGATAGCGAAACTCTGCACATAAAGACTCCAGGCACCATGATCACTTCAAATCTCATGGTGCTTGGAGTAATCCATTAAGTCTGTACCAGTATTACACAGCGAAAACCTAAACCAAAAACAGTGACAACTGAATTACGTCATTTCAAATCCTTTTTCTCTTATAACATTTTATGAAGCTGCCCTAAAACAAGCTCAGCAATGTTTTATGACAAAGAAAAAAAACAACACTAAAATATGACTTAATTTGCTCCATAGGTGTTTCACAGCCAGAGAAAGTTTAAATGGTTATCATAGCCAATGAGTGAAATGACACTAAGAAAGTATGTTACAAAAGAAATCTAGACAGAGTGCAAAATAATAATTCACACATAATTAAAAACATTTCTGCTGGTTTGAACAATGTTGCAGATCATTCAAATACACAATTATATTCTCTACCACAGTATATTCCAAGAATTTAAAAAAGGGCGTACCTGTTTGCAACAGACTTAGAAGTAAGAACAGGATATTGACAGCTGTGAGAGGATTTGCATAGCTAAAGTCAGTGTGGTTGGTATATATACTCTCAATTACTTTTACCAAAGGTTGATGTATCAAAATGAGCAAAGGTTCTCCTGGTCACGTGACGTTGTCTAATAATTATACAGAGTGGTACCTCTGCAGCAACATGCCAGAATACAACACGTAGCAGTATATGTAATAACATTGTTTGCTTGTATTGGGCTGTAACTGTTTTACCACCATAAGGATTGCACACTAAAGTGGGAAGTGTCAGGAATTCGAAGTGAAACCTTAGGCCAAAATTAGGATCACCTTCAGGGCGTGAGAATCAGGATGGTTGTCACACACCCGGCAGTCCTGGGGGGACATGGACACCCCGGCCCCCACATTTCCAATGTGCATATTTATATATAGCGATTATTGCTATATATGTGCCCCAGCGAGAGTTGGAGAGGAGAGCTCCCTGAAGCTTAAGATCACGTTTGTTGGACACGCTCTTTACTATACAAGCACTTTGCAGCCTGCATATGCACAGGTAAGGGGCAGGCAGGCAGAAGATAAAATTAATAAATTAATAATAAAAATAAATAAAATTTTTCCACATAATGCAGCCCCTATTGTACCCCGCATACATATGACTTTCGTCCGTCACGCAAGACAGAATGCCAAATAGAGACGGATGGGTCATATCCCCATACAAGACTAACGGCAAGGTTATGTATAGCCTCAGAGTCCGATGCAAGTCTATACATCTCATGAACCCATGCGAGGTAATAGTCGCATGCGTCACTTCCGGACATCGCAAGGCCGAAGTACATCCAGGAAATACATCAAACACACTGGATTGCACTAATTACTGATACACAGCCTATATCAACTGGGACAGGACATGATTAGCCACACTTCTGAGGAAGCCCTGCCGGGTGAAACGCGTCAAGTGTGTTACTGGAAGAACTTTCATCCATTTTTTATTGTTTGCTATATATATTAAATATACTGTTGTAATAAAATGTTAAATAAAGTATTTTTAAATATACAAGTCCCTTTTTATTGTTTTAACAATTTTATATCGGTCATCATACTTCCTGGTTCATCCTGTTATTTTCTAAAAAGGCAAATTGTTTTAAACCTTGTGATGTGCAAATTGCAGTTTGTTATTGATGTTGTTTCTTCCCTTGGGGCTAGGTAAGCATAACTAACGCATTTTGATTGTGTACAATACTTTTGTGTGCACCTTCATATTAAGTTAAAAGGCATCATACCTCTACTATCTGATTAAGCAAGTGAGAGATTATCTGGAAAATCCCAAGGAAGCTCTGATAGACTTTTTAAACATCTATCTGAATAAACATATCCATGCTGCTACTAAACTCCTTACCTACTCCTCGACCAGGCCACGTTCTCAACTTTGGCCTTCAACAACATACCTTCATTCCACTATAACAAATCCAAATGTTGCTGCATATAAATGCTACGATACACTACCCACAATTTTGTTATGCCCCAGGAGACAGTAACTCTGGTTACACCACGGTTTCAAATTCAAGGTAAAAATAGCAGAACTGTTAACATTCTCTAAGTCAGCTATGCTTCCAGTTTAACTACTTTGGCCTTAGATTTGAAACTCACTTTGAATTCTCACTTTAGTAAAAAGTCCTTTATAACTTCCCTAACTCATAATATTAAAACGGATCCCTGTCACGACATTGACGTATGTTGCTTGAGGGGTTTGGCATACTTCTGCTGTTTCTGTCTGGTATTGCTTTTCTAGTTGTACGTTAACTACGTGTTTAACAGTCATGCTGTCATGGTTACGTTTTGACTTTTTTAGATTTTAGGCGAGTTTGGGAAGGGCCTTCTTCACGTACTGTTATAGCAGTATGTCAATCATGTTCTCTTGGAATTCAGTGTTTGTTTTGTGTACCTATTGTACAGCACTGCGCAATATGTTGGCGATATATAAATAATTGTAATTAAATTCCTTCAGTGTTTCTTTGCTGGCCTGATAACTGATATCCACAAAACGATTTTGCACAGGGCTCTGTCTTCTGTCGTCTTCTTCACACAGATACAATAAAAAATAATTATAATTATATATATAAAATGAATGATTTATTTAATAAGTATTTCTCAGTGTTTCAGTGCTAGGAAGCTTGCTGTGATTCCTCCCCCCAGGCCTGGCCCCTGTCCCTGGATGGCCCCAGCACTGGCCGCTCTCTGATCCCTGTCACGGCAGGAGGCGCTCACTGTCTCCCAGGAGCCCTGATATCGGCTCTCTACCCCGGGAGCTGCCATCCACCCGCACTGAGCCCGAGCAGCCCGGCCTTATATGCCGCTCCCGGTATCTCCGGAACCAATCAGCCGGCCATGCTTGGTGGCCGTGTCTAGAGCCAGGTGGGACTCCGAGCAGACCGGAACCGGCGCAGGACCACCCTCCTCCCCCCGGGACCACCACACCGGCTTCCCCAGCCAGTCCTGAGCGGGATCGCCAGCCATGGCCCTCGTCACCCTGCAGCGCTCCCCGACTCCCAGCGCTGCCTCCTCGGCCAGCACCAGCGAGGTGAGGGCAGGGTCCCAGGAAACACCGGGGATGGGCTGGGAGGGTAGGCCGGGGTAGGGCTGACAGGCTATATTATAATAATAATAATAATAATAAACCCTAATATAGTGTACGCAGTGTGTCAGCCGGTCACTGCCAGGATAATGTGATTTTATAGATTATACACAATCAGGGTTCATCACTAGAGTGGGGAGTTTTGTGAATGTAGACAAACTGTATCTGTCACTGACATGGAGAATTGCTCTCATTTCAGTTTAAATTGACTCTGAATTCCCAACGATTTCTCCCTTTTGTAAACAACTGTCCTGGTTTAAAGGTTGTAATAATATTAATAATAATTCGATGGAATGGAATCTTCATTTTTTTTTTTTTTTTTTTTTTCAATCGAGAACTGTTTTTATTAGTTATATAATGCCAGCACTGTCTGTATTACTTCACAATAAAACAGTAGGGTTGATTAACAGGACGTAATTGAGAGATAAAAATAATGTTGACTGATACAAAATATGAAGACCCCTGGGAAAGGAGCTTGCAATCTTTAAAGTTTGAATTTGGAGAATATTTCAATGTCAGCTATTTTAGCATTAGTAGACCCACTTAGGAGACAAGAGGGTGCAGTTTAGGAGCTGTATAAAAGTGCAGACGTCTTGAAATCAGTTTTTTATTTTATTTATTCTTTATTTAATACTGCACAATAAATACAGGTTCATAAATAAACCACATGCAACTGATGTGGCAGCATATTTTCAGTTACAACAAACACGGGCTTAACATGTAAACCAATAAGGTACAAAGAGAAAATAATACAGCAAAGTAACAGTTAGTTAAGTACTTCTATGTATGTACCAAGCTCTCATAAAGAGAGCAAATTCTTCCCTAAGAGCCCATTTTATAATAAGGTCTGTTGAGTCCTGCCCAAATACATTTACATGTTACACTCTGTGTTTATATAAAATAACCTTCTGTAGAGATATTTCAGCCCAGTACAGGTATTGGTGCTTAAAACAGAAGGAATATACATTGTGTCAAAGCATACATGTAGTTTACCCCTCCCTCAAATACTGGTCTGTCTTTATTTTTGAGAGCATTGTGTTAAATGTTGTGTTAATCACACTTTTATACAATTAAAGCAAGACCGCAATAAACTAAAAGGTGAAGCATGGAATCGGTCGTAACAAAATTGCATGGGTAATGTTCACATGAGAATCCTGGTGAAATGGTTACATGGATATATTTCACTAGCAAGTGACCGGTTCGTAAATAACTTCAGTTCATTGAGGTTGGCAAAAGGTAGAACTCCATTGTCAACCTTTTTCCAATCCAGTAGGCGTCTCGTGACTGCTGTGCAGGGGTGTTCCTAGAGCGTTTGGCACCCCCTGCCTCCAAAAGTGTGTGTGTGTGTGTGTGTGTGTGTGTGAGAGAGAAAAAATAATAATAATAATAAAAAAATATATATATATATATATATATATATATATATATATATATATATATATATATATATATATATATATATATGCAAGAAAAAGTATGTGAATTTCTGCACAAATTGATCATAAAATGTGATCTGATCATCATCTAAGTCACAACAATAGACAATCACAGTCTGCTTAAACTAATAACACACAAATAATTAAATATTGCCATGTTTTTATTGAACACACCATGTAAACATTCACAGTGCAGGTGGAAAAAGTATGTGAACCCCATAGACTAATGACATCTCCAAGAGCTAATTGGAGTGAGATGTTAGCCAACTGGAGTCCCATCAATGAGATGAGATTGGAGGTGTTGGTTACAGCTGCCCTATAAAAAACACACACCAGTTCTGGGTTTGCTTTTCACAAGAAGCATTGCCTGATGTGAATGATGCCTCGCACAAAAGAGCTCTCAGAAGACCTACGATTAAGAATTGTTGACTTGCATAAAGCTGGAAAGGGTTATAAAAGTATCTCCTTGCTGTTCATCAGTCAACAGTAAGACAAATTATCTATAAATGGAGAAAGTTCAGCACTGCTGCTACTCTCCCTAGGAGTGGCTGCCCTGTAAAGGTTGACTGCAAGAGCACAGCGCAGACTTCAATGAGATGAAGAAGAATCCTAGAGTGTCAGCTAAAGACTTACAAAAGTCACTGGCAAATGCTAACATCCCTGTTAGCGAATCTACAATACGTAAAACACTAAACAAGAATGGATTTCATGGGAGGATACCACAGAGGAAGCCACTGCTGTCCAAACAAAACATTGCTGCACGTTTACAGTTTGCACAAGAGCACCTGGATGTTCCACAGCAGTACTGGCAAACTATTCTGTGGACAGATGAAACCAAAGTTGAGTTGTTTGGAAGAAACACACAACACTATGTGTGGCGAAAAAAAGGTACAGCACACCAACATCAAAACCTCATCCCAACTGTGAAGTATGGTGGTGGGGGCATCATGGTTTGGGGCTGCTTTGCTGCGTCAGGGCCTGGACGGATTGCTATCATCGAAGGAAAAATGAATTCCCAAGTTTATCAAGACATTTTGCAGGAGAACTTAAGGCCATCTGTCTACCAGCTGAAGCTCAACAGAAGATGGGTGTTGCAACAGGACAATGACCCAAAGCATAGAAGTAAATCAACAGAATGGCTTAAACAGAAGAAAATACGCCTTCTGAAGTGGCCCAGTCAGAGTCCTGACCTCAACCCGATTGAGATGAAGTGTCATGACCTCAAGAAAGCGATTCACACCAGAAATCCCAAGAATATTGCTGAACTGAAACAGTTCTGTAAAGAGGAATGGTCAAGAATTACTCCTGACCGTTGTGCACGTCTCATCTGCAACTACAGGAAATGTTTGGTTGAAGTTATTGCTGCCAAAGGAGGTTCAACCAGTTATCAAATCCAAGGGTTCACATACTTTTTCCACCTGCACTGTGAATGTTTACATGGTGTGTTCAATAAAAACATGGCAACATTTAATTCTTTGTGTGTTTATTAGTTTAAGCGGACTGTGATTGTCTATTGTTGTGACTTAGATGATGATCAGATCACATTTTATGACCAATTTGTGCAGAAATCCATATTCCAAAGGGTTCACATACTTTTTCTTGCAACTGTATATGTATACTTGCAAAATGTTTTTTTTTTTTTTTAATGTATTACACAAATTTGTATACTTTGTAAAACCACTGTCAGCCACCTTCTACAAATCCCTGTAGTGCCCCCTACTACAAAAACCCGGCATCCCCCTTCCACAAATCCCTTGCTCAGCCCCCCTTATACAAGACCCCTGCCCCTTCTACAAAATCCCTGCACCTACTCACACACAGTTACAGGCAGACAGTCACACACACAGGCACACGCAGTTACAGGCAGACAGTCACACGTAGGCATCGACTGAAACTCTATAAGCATTCCATAGGTTTAGCAGCCATGACTGTCTCCCGGTGACAGTTGCCTGTTTCTTTGACTACCTCTGTATTATTCCACATCACGCAATTTACCACCCACTCGTCTTTTTCAATGCTTACATAAGCGTAATTTAAGCCTTTACTTACTAGCATGATAACACTATTGTTTTCTTTTACCCTTGGTTACGGACATGTCATGATATGGTGCTTGAGGATTGCTGTTGGGGTACCTCAGCCTTGTATGTAGCGATCTTATGTACTGCAAAAATATAAAATTAAAAAAATGTCTAGATTTTTTTTTTTTTTTCCTCTCTGAAACTAATGTAGAATTCTACATTTCTGTTTATCCAATACCTTTTTAAAGAGTGGTGGGTCAGTAGATGTGTTACCCTGTGTGTCAGAGACTTGCCTAGATTGACCTATAGCTTCCCTGAAATTTTGTTTTGGATATATATATATATATATATATATATATATTTTTTTGTATATATATATATATATATATATATATATATATATATATATATATATATATATGTATATAATTTTTTTTATTTATTTATTTATTTATTTATTTATTTATTTATTTATTTATTTTTATATCCCCTTAAATGCTCTGCAAAATATGGTGCAGCTTTGCACATCTATTTCATGTCTAAAATAGAAGCCTTGGATCAAATAAGGTTGAGGCTTTGCAACAGGATGTAAATAGAAAAAAGCAGACACAGATTATCTGTTGTCAAAAAAAGGAGCATAAGGGCAAGCTGTTAATTTTAAGCAATTGCTTAGCACTAATAGCAACAGCAATAGCTGTTTTCTGATATAAAAAGCTTAACAGTTATGATGTATGGTTCAGAGGTACAGGATGTTACATTACTCACATATTTGCTATTTTTTTTTCTTTTCTTTCGAACCCATTGGTTGACAGTACTAATCCTTATTGGCCTTGAAGCCAGTAGTGTTCTCACTTCATCCCGAGCTGATCTCTAATGTTCTCTTGCGGCCGTCAGAAGTCATGTTTTTCATTTTGTTTTGTACAGGGCATTTAGTGGTTTTTTTTTTTTTTGTGTGTGTGTGTGCGCGCAAATAGTGAACATAACAGGTTTTCCATGCCACGACAGCAAATAAAACACAAGTATTAGCATACATATTATGGCATTGTCGTGACATTCAGTTTTTCTGCACATTTTTTATGTAGATTATAACATGCTAGTCAAGGATGTCTAGGTTGAGAAAGCATACAGCGGTTATCTATTTTGTGAGAAGGTCTAGACAAATGCATTAGAAAGGAAAATAAACATGCGTAAATATAAGAATTTTGGTAGTGCATGGTAATAACATAGCAGATTCTACAATGCCACAAAAGCACATTCGGGTTCAAGCTTAAACATAGCATATTGAAACACAACTGGTGATCAGCATTATGATGAGCCTGCACATTTTAGGGGGTATAGGGAGAAAGCAAGTTATGGTTAACAATAGTGGGGTAACTAGCAAGCCTAAATGCTTAAAAGTAAGTGTAAGCGAGATGCCCATTGGTAGTGTAGGTTAGGCTTTAGATGTGAGTCGGGGCATGATATACATGTTGTGTCTCAAGCAAGGCTTGTTA